TGATGCTGCCTTGGAAACCCAAGGAGGGGTTGCTATGAGTCGGGGCCGACTCGATGGCAAGTAACAACAACAACAAAATATATATATATATATTTTATTGTGATTTGGGTGAAAGTTTACAGAAAACAAATTTGTTTTCCATTCAGCAGTTCACATGCATCGTTTCATGACATTGATTGTAATTTCCCCCAAGGTAACAGCTGTTTTCCCACTTCCTCTCCGTGGTTACCTTTTGCCTGTGTCCTTCTTCCCTATGAATTCCCGCCCTCTGAGCTTTCTTCCTGCGCAAATGCTGCCCTTCAGCTCTCCGTGTGGCTGATCGTTCCACGATGCTCATGTTTTCATTGGGTTGTTTGTCTTTTATTTTTGACTTGTGGAAGTTCCTTACATATTCTAGTTACGTTCTTTGTTGTAAATGTTTTGCACATCTTTTCTCCCAGTCAGTGGCTTGTCTTTTCATCCTTGTAACAGTCTCTTTTGGAAAGGTGACGTCTTGAGTTTTAGATTCTGATGAAGTCCAGTTTGTCATTTTTGTTCTTTAATAGTTCGTGCTTTTCTTTTTTTTTTTTTTTGGTCCAATTTATGAAATATTTACCAAACTGAAAGTTGTGAAGAATTTCTCTGATGCTCTTTCTAAGAAGTTTTGTAGTTTTTTTCTTATGTTTAAATCTGTGATCCATTTTGAGCTTATTGTTGTAGTGTGAGCTAGGGGTCCAAATTAATTTTTCTTGCATGTGGATATCCAGTTGTCCAGCACCGTTGTTAACAAGATTAATCTTTCCTCATTGAATTGTTTCTGCTTGCATGCTGTATTCTGTTCCATTAATCTCTCTGCCTGCTTTTCCTCCAGTAACATACTGTTTTGATTACTGTAGCTTTACAGTGAGTCTTAACGTGGACTTTAAGGCCTCCAACTCTTCCTTGTTTTTCAGATTTGTTCTGGCTGTTTTTGCTCTTGTGTTAGTTTCCCAGGGCTGCACAACAAATGACCACAAACCGAGTGGCTTAAAACAACTGAAATTTATCCTCTCACAGCTCTGGAGGTCACAAGTCTGAAATGAAGGCGTCAGCCGTGCTGCACTCCCTCTGAGGGCTTGAGGGGAGATGGCATTTGACTGCTCAAAATGAAAGATTTCTGTTAACAGGGCCCCCACAAAGTTCACAGGAGACAATACTTGGAAAGGAATTTTAAATTTTAAAACTGACAAGGAATTTTACCTAAAGGAAAAGTCAGAAAAAGAGAATAGAAAAACAAGCAAGGGATACAAGTGGGCAGTTTGAAGAGGTGGTACCCCAGCTGGCCAGTTAATAAATAAATGCTCGAGCGCACCAAGTGCAAACAAACAACAGTGAGATACTCATTTATAGTCTCCAGAGTGCCAGAAATGCGGAAACCACACATAACCACACCAGTGCCCATCGCATCAGTCCCTATGCGAGGCAAACCTGTGTGTTTCAGAGAACTGCTTCATGGCATTTTCAGGACTGTGATGGCTAAGGCACCCCTGGGCAGGTTTGAACTGCCAGTCTTTTGGTTAGTAACACAGTGCTTAACTGTGCTATCCAGGGACTCAGAAAGAAAATCCTCTATCAAGTCTAGGAGCTCTGGTAGCATAGTGCCTAAGGCACTTGACTGCTAACCAGAAGGCTGGCGGTTCAATCCCACCCAAGGAGGACTCGCTATGAGTCGGGTTCGACTCGCTGGCACATAACAACATCAAGTCTACTGAAACTTTGGTGTTTAAACTTCCCCACAGTTTTAAAACCCATGTGCATACAAAGCAGATTTGTGATTGAACTGAGACTGGCCTCTGAACCTTGCCCTGCTGTCAGCACACTGGGGTCTGTGTCTTCTATCAGTGGCTGAGTTTCCACCAGGTGGTAGATACAGGCCCGACCTCCTGCAGTCATCCGTGCCCTGAGGTTTCCTGACCCACTTATCCCTCCTGGTGCCACACGGCAGGAATCTGCTGAGTCACCCTGCTGGGCTTGGTCACCCCATCTTCTCCCACAGGACACAGGTCACCCAGGGAAAAGGGATAAAGGAAACCCACCTGCCTGGCTGGTCCCAAGCGCCCTCTCAAAAGTGCAGATTTCCAGCCAGAGGCTTTCACAGACCTCCACCAGCTCTGAAAACCACAGATGTGTGCCGCACCCACCCTCCCTCCCTCCTCTGCGAATGTTTTACTGTGTTGGTGGTGGGCGATTTTAAGCAGATTCCTGACTCATCCCCACCCCAAGTGACAGAGGGGAACTGCCCCCAGGGTTTTCTTGGCTGTAATGTTTGCAGGAGTGGATGGCCAGGTCAATGGCCAGCAGAGCCACTTGGGTATGTTGCAACCGTCAACCTTGTGTACATTATACGTTTGTCAATCAAGCAATCAATCAGTGTGGGAGGGGCATTGTCAAAAAGGCGGCAAGACTGCTCCCCACTGCTCCTGGCTCGGCTAGTCTGGGCTGGAATGTTCTGTAGAGCAAGAAAGGGACTCCTCACTTTTGATTGACCAGTCCTGTCTAACTGGTCCAGGCAGGAAAAGGCATGCTTCCGAGGTCACCACTCCGGGCTCCAGGCCGGGGAGCGGTGCGCATTTCCCACAGAGGCGCGGGGAAGCGCCCGTCCACCCTCGAGCTCCACACGGAAGGCGTCACCTCACCCACACCAACACCTCTATTGAGAAAGGCTGACTTGTCGATAACACTGTTCTGGAAACTGTCCGAGAGACCTCGGCCCAGTTTCAGACTCGTTCCCAGGCTGCAGATGGCTTTTTCTTTAGACGACGTATTTTCCGCAGGAAAGCGTGCGGGCCGCAGAGACTACCAGAATCTATTTGGGGCGGCAGGGAAGTCTCCTTCTTTTGCAACGCCAACCTCACGAACCCTGATGCCCTGTGCCCTGGGGTTTTGTGTGAGCCATGAGTCATCAATTGCGTCCTCAGGCTCACACTCGGAGGCAGCGCGGTGGGTTTCCTCTGGGTCTTGTCAAAACTGCTTACGAAACCACGTCTGGTGCGGGTGCCCACGGTGTGTAAAAATACCAGCTCCTACCCTGCATCGCGCTCTAAATTTAGCGCCCCCTGGCCGTACGGCGCACGCGCTCCCAGCCAGCAGAGGTGCCCAGATCCCCACGGACAGCAGAAACACCCGGAAAAGCAGACCACGGCAGACACAGGGCTCGGGAGGCGCTAGCGTGACTCTGGGCGTCGTGTGTTCAAAAACCTTTGGTTGAAACAAAAGGTCTCGCTGTTTCTGCAAAGCGGTCCTTCGGTTACGAGCCACAAGGGCCGCACTTTCCACAAGAACGCCTGCCTCCGCCGCTGTGCGCGGGACCTCGGGAGTGTCTCGGCTTCCTCGGGGAATGTGCGTCCCATCCCGTTACGGTTTTGCTCTTTGCTGATCAACTTATGCGCCCGCCGGACGCAGGAAGGGGCTTCAACCCTTGGTGACACGTGCACAGTTTGGGCTTTTGCTCGCCCCTCTGTGGCATTTATCCAACGGGTGCACGGCTCGCCGTCGCGCCCGCTGGGGTCGTCGCGTGTCCAAGCTCTAAGGGTTCAGGGAGTGAGAGACGGTACCCGCCGGCCGCCCGAGAGGGATCTGGCGCCAGGTCTCACAGCAAGCCGCCACCGCGGACCACGCCGCCGCACTGCTGCCTCGGCCCTGGCGCCCACTTTTATTCAGGCCAGGAGGGGCGGGGCCTGCCCTCGCGGCGACGCGCTGACGTCATCCGACGGAGGGCGGGGCCAGCGGCGGCGGTGTTGGTTCGCTTGGCACCTCAGCGCCTCAGGCGTTAGCGCTCCCCTCAGCCTCCGCCGCGGCCTCGCGGTCGCCCAGCCGCTCGCCTCCTCGTCTTCCCGTCTCCCCGTCGATCCCCTCCGCGGCCTCCCCGGGCCGCCGCCGCC